TTGAAGTTTTGACTTGTCCAGTATTACATTTTGACATCAAAGTATATCAAAACTTAAAACCAAAAATGTTACATTTTGCAGTCTCCTTTAGTATTTGGAAGTTGTTTTTGTATGTTCTTGGATCATGTGTTTTGGTTAATCCTGAACTACAAATCTATCCTAAATATTTCCTGAAAATGGTTCTTAGTATGTAATAAGACTCCATTAACTTTTTTATTTCTCGTGCGTTCGTTCGTTGAAGGACACAGTGAAGATCGGTAGATCTTGATTCATTGGGTTATACTGCCACCTGCAAGAGTTGGAGGCTAGGTACCAAATGCAAAAGTCAGCCTAGGGAAGGCCCCTGCTGGTTCCCAACAAGACCACCCCCCCAGACCATAAACCCTAGATGAGGGAAAATGGTCTCCACATCCAGATATGTTTCATCTTCTGTCGCCGGTTGGGGATCTTGGATGTGGAACATCTAGTGTCCCATTTCATTGATGAGGTGGATCAGTTTGTAGCCAGGCGCAGGATCTGTTGGCAGACGTAACGTACGACCTAGTGGCGGCATGGGGCCCGTACTGTCTGATTTATGAGTTGCTTCCTTGGAAGCTTCTGCCCCATTTGCTTCGTATGGTCGAGGTGGAAGGGATTTCAGTCATTCTGGTGGCCCCAGACTAGTTTTGCAGACTTTGATACGCAGATCTCATTCGGTTGGTCGCAGACGGTCCCTGGCATCTGCCTACTCGCTCAGACCATCTGTCTCAGGGACCTCTATTCCATCCTGCTTTACAGTTGCTGGCATAAAAAGCATGGCTATTGAAGGCCAGGTGTTAAGAGGTTTGTTAGTCTGTGATTCCTACCATGCTTAAAGCTCATAAGGCTACTTCCCGTAGGATCTATTATCGTACACGGAAACAGAGGTGTCCTGCAGTTACACTGAAAAATAAGAGAAAAAGGGAGAGTGCCGAGCGCCACCAAATAGTGCAATAAAAGGTGAGAAGGTGACAATGTAACAATCATCAGATAGACATGCATCTTCTGGAGACATCAGACTCTGGTTAAAGGTAGTGGATATTCTGGAGCGTGGATTATCCGGCTGTAGGGTAAAAACATACACGAGCGACCATGTGCTGATCGTGTGAATCTGTGAAACAATACATTAATAAGAGAAGAATCGCACTCACACAATGCAGGCTGAAAAGCAGTCTAGAGTAGATGCAGAAGTTCTATTTGATCCTGTGTGCCTTGGTCCGGTTCCCTGCAGCTTCAGTGTTCTGATGTGAATTCTAGTGGAATACAGACTTGCCAGGGAGCAGGTGAAGTGTCCAGGCCAGTGTGCAGAAGACCCTGTCTTTTTTATATTTTCCAAAAAATTGGGCAATAATAAGTGTTTTTTAACATAACATAGGGAAAACAGGGGGGGGGTTCACAATTTTTGCTTTCTTTTATTAGTAAAAACTAAAACCCCCAGTGGTGATTAAATACCACTAAAAGAAAGCTCTGTCTGCCCCCAAAAATGGTATAAAATTCATTTCAGTTCAGCGTTGCATGAATGAATAAATGTCAAAGTACCTCAGCACCGAATACTGAAAAATGGCCTGGACAGGAAGGGTGTTTAACACCCCAGTCATGGAGTGGTTAAACAAACATTTTGCTTTTACTTAATTACTGTTTTTCCATTTTCTGGTCCTCCTAGGCATGCGTGATGTAGCACATGCCTAATAGATGCATCCTGGGAAGGTTACATCACCATTGCATTGCTAGGAAATCTGTAAACTGCAACATCTCGTGAGATCTCGGGGAAAGGCATTTTTCTTTCCCGAGAGCATGTGTATGGTCACATGTCCTTGTCGCATGTGCCAGAGTTCCAGGAAGTTAAGAGAAATGGATTAAAAATGGCTTAAAAATGAGAATAATGGCTTAAAAATGAGAATAATGGGAAGGAAAAGAAAAATGAGGTATATAAAAACCCTTAACCTATTTGTCAAGGGTTTTTAAGTTTCTGTCTGTAGATTCACATCTACAGACAGAAGGTGCCTTTTGTTGTCTTTTTAAAGATAAGGGTAAAGTTCCTCTTTAACAAAACTGTAAATTTCAGTACTTGGAGACAGAATCGATGGTTCCTAGTAATGAATCGTTATTACAGCAGGAAAGCACAGGCTCTGACTGGATTCTTCTTTCCTCCTTAGTTAAAAATCTTTATTCAACCAGAGGAAAAGCCGACCAGGTTTAATAACCTAGAGACATTATTATATTTCTAAGAAGCTGTGTACTCCTTTTTGTGAAATTCTTTTTGAAGTATTAATACTAGTGGATCGCATACAGTATAGCAGTGTTCACCGAGGGCTTTGTAATGGTTGCAGCATACAGCTGTCTAATCACGTTTGTTTTTGCTGAAAAACACTTGGCAACTAAACTGGTATACTAAAATCCTGACACTTTGGCAGGTGTTTGTGATGGCTGTGTTGGCGGCATGATGATTTGTTTGTTGGATTACCCTAAACTAGCCCAAATCTTGTTTGTTGGAGCTTTAAAATCTGTGTTCACTTTGCTGGCCATCTGCATTGAAAAGGAAGTGCTGGGAGTGATCCCCAGTGGATAAGTACGGCTTCATCTAGAATAAGTAAAATTCTCCCTGTGACATCTGCTGCGAGACAGGAAATAACTAATATGATGATCTATATCAACCAAAAGCTGACGGCATGTGCAGAAAAATGTTGAACCAGAATGGTTACATGTTCACTTACAGTGAGGGAAAATAATGATTTGATCCCCTGCAGATTTTGTAAGTTTGCCCACTTACAAAGAAACAAAAGGTCTATAATCTTTATCATAAGTGTATTTTAAATGATAGAGACAGAATATCAACCAACAATCCAGAAAAACACATGATACAAATGTTATAAATTTGAGTTGCAGTATAGTGAGTAAAATAAGTATTTGATTGCCTACCAACCAACAATAATTCTGGCTCCCACAGACTGGCTATGTGGTGCACAGATTAGTCCTGTCAATAACGGCAACTAGTTATGTATATAAAACACCTGTGCACAGAATTTCTTCCATTCAAACATCACCACCATGTGCAAGACCAAAGAGCTGTTCAAAGGATGTTGGGGACAAGATTGTAGACATGCATAAGGCTGGAATGGGCTACAAGACTATCAGCAAGAAGCTTGGGGAGAAGGAAACCACTGTTGGATCGATTTTTCGCAAATGGAAGGTATACAAAATAATCATCAATAGCACTCTTAATCTACTAGTGTATGACCAGTTTTATTGTGCTATATGTCTGAACATGAGCTCCCCCGAACCCAGAAAGTACATAGGCGCACATGCCCAATCAGCTGTGGGCCTGGGCATTCCCTACCCCGCAGCTGCACATAAACAAAGGTGCAGAATGGTTGTGTGGACATCATTGACCTTATTTGGCTACATGGCCATTTTAGATCAGTGTCCTTGACCAACCTAGTAATGGCAACGTAAGCACATTCTGTGATTGAATGAAAACCATTTCAAAATATAGCTACTTGTAACATTTCTGAAATATTTATAGTACATGTAAAAGTTCACACGGAACTGTGCAGAGTTTGCTTTGGGAGTGGATGTTGCAATTTACAAATACATGTTGTATTTTGTAATTGGATACTTCTTACAAATGCAGCCCAGCTGAGCGCTCAGGGCCTAATAAGGCCCCGCTTGTTGTGTCATGTGTTATCGTGCATTGTGCTAAAGCTGGCCATACTCCTTACAACCATCGCACAACTTTTGTTGTGCGATGGTTGTAAGGTCATTAAAATTTTGTACGATCTGCCCATCTTAGACAGGCAGATCGTACTTGTGATCATCGCAAGCCCGCCCCCTGAAGGGAGGGCTTCCGATGATTGCAGTGCTGAGCGGGCAGTGTGCGCCTGCGCACACCGGCCCGTGCTGCATTCATCTTCCGACCACGCCACCACGATTTTCGGCGGGTTTTCAAGCGTGCTCGTAAGAGGAAAGTCGTACGACGTAGAAGAGGTCGCACGCTGCCTATACACCTGCCGATTATCGTACGATCGCGGGATCATCCGCTATTATCGTATGATAATCGGCAGGTGTATGGGCACCTTGAGGCTGCCCATTCAATTGAATGGCCTGCCAGTGCACCAGAAAAGACAAATACATGCCACTTTTTTTTTTTTTTGCAGTGGACCACAACACGCGACACATGGGTTGCGTTACTGTTCATTGTGGCGCGCTGCAATACATATACATCAGAGCTGCGCAGCCTTGAATTTTGGAATTGCAAAATGTTAACGCACATAACACGCTTTACAGCAATATGTTACCACAGAGCATCAGAGAAACGCAAAATATTTTTGCCAAATATTGCCATACAGATTAAGTTCAACCAATATGAAAATTGTTTATCTTTTTGGCTAGTTTTTAAGCTTGTTGCTGGCGTTGGAGAGTCATGGTGGTATTTCGAGTAAACCATTTTAAGGAAGAGTGTACAGGTAGCTTAATGGTTAGCTTTGTTACTTTGAAGACCTGTTTAGGACGCAGAGTATGATACTGGATCCATAGAAGGAATTCCATACATTAGTTGTTTGGCTTCTGCCCACATCAGTCCTAGTATCTGTATGTCTTTGGCAGGGTCACTTGATCGAAAACTTTTTTGGAGAGCAAAACCCTAATTTGGAATCAATAACATACTTAAAGATTTCTTCAAATTGTCGAAGTGGCTATAAGTAATTTTGTAAATGTAGCAGTTGTATCCTGCGGTTTGGTTTGATGTTTGGTTCTCATTGAACTGCTCCACCTGCCCAGCAATGTGATGTGTGTGCTGCTAACATACAACTGAATCAGTTTTGCCTTCATTAGATTTGTTTACGGTTTGTTCTAATTTTGCCTTTTTTTTTTTTGCCTTTCAATTTATGAAGTAGATTGTTGCCGATCAACTTCTGTATAGTTATCACTACGTCGTCTTCTATTTGAGATGCCAGAAATGTAATCTTTCTTCCCTTTAATTTCAGGACTGGGTACAGAAGGTCTGTATCGTGTGAGTGGCTACAAGACGGACCAAGATAATATTCAGAAACAGTTTGATCTGGGTGAGCAATCTGCGCAGTTCATGTAGAAAGCCATTGGCATTTTAAAGCATGCTTGTTTTTTTTCCATATTTTATACAATATATTAAAGGGGTTGGTCCAGTTCTGGGATAGCAACACCCCGTGCACCCCAACATGAAATGAAGTATGGTCGCTCTTTTTTTATCAGTTTTACTATGTATATTGGATTGTGTTTTATGAGGATGGAAAACACCAATAATTTATGAACAAGCTGTATATTTCAGTTCACACGGGAGCCAAATTCAGGCACCTGGCAAGCAAAGTGAATAACTAGTGCCAGACTTGTAAATTTGTATTGGCTCTACTAAACCTGGATCCTAAGCAAAGCTTTTGTTTGATAGTCTGTAAATATAAACGCTGCTGGCAGCTTTCAGCATGGACTGAATACAGCTATCAGTTCATTTTTCTCAGTGCTCTGCCCAGCAGATCTGCACTGATTTGTCAAGTTACAGCGCTGGCTATTTTATGCCTCACTGTTAAGCACCCTACACTTATCTGTTTGAGCTCATAACCCTGCAAGTCCTGCCAATTCCAGATTTACATCATGGTGAGGTTGGCTTTCTAGCATTAGGAAATAGATCTGCTATTCTAGCAATAAAAAGCAGTTTGGATAAAATGGAAAAGCAAGCTTTAAATACATGCAAGGAATGCAGCCTACCGGCTCCTTTATTTTATAAGGAAAATAGTGCTTAGTTCTGCCTTGCTATGTAAATAAATCAAGACCTTCTCCACCCAAGATATTTCACATTTTGGTAAGTGCTGCAGACCTAAACCACCTAATGGTTTTTTGCATCTATCAGGGAGTGCAGTACTAAGATCTGTGCACACATGCTGCAGCAATCATTAGGCTGTCCACCTCACCCCTAGTGCTGTACGGTAACACCCAGAACTTCAGGGAAGGTGGACACAGAGCCATGGCTGATTTTACCAATGGGTTCCTAAGAGCTGTAAGCATTAGTGGGTGCCCAGCCCATCAGGCTCTACCTGACCTATAACTTTAGGGGTAACTGATTATTGAACTGCATATTTCATTAAATGTCTAGTGTTTTCTGTATATTTTTATGTTCCTTCTAGAAAAAGGTTTTCTATTTTTTTATTTTGTTTGTAATGAGAAAATATGAAATGTAAATATTCACAGCCAGTAGGTGAGCTAATAAAAGCGCTGTAGTTTTCTTAGGGCTCATTTAACAGCTGGAGACCAGATTATATACTGTATGTATATTAAAGAACAATTGTAACCCGCAAATGTTTACTTACCAGCTTTTCTAATAGACGATTGAGGTCTTATTTATTCCATTTAGCCTTATTATTTAGAATGCACTCCAGTTTGGGCAGAGTGACTGGAGACATTTGGACAGAGCATTGGTAATTTAATGATAATTTTAGAGATTGAGGTGTTAGTGATCTGCATTCTGAAGAAGACAGCTGGCTGATGGAGGGCTCTCAGCTTATGCTTAATTTCTGGTCAGAAATCACCAAATACACTATATTACCAAAAGTATTGGGACGCCGGCCTTCACACGCACATGAACTTTAATGGCATCCCAGTCTTAGTCCGTAGGGTTCAATATTGAGTTGGCCCACCCTTTGCCGTTATAACAGCTTCAACTCTTCTGGGAAGGCGTCCACAAGGTTTAGGAGTGTGTCTATGGGAATGTTTGACCATTCTTCCAGAAGTGCATATGTGAGGTCAGGTACTCATGATGGACGAGAAGGTCTGGCTCGCAGTCTCCGCTCTGGCGACTTCTGAGCGCTTCAGCACGTGCTGACCCCGCTCTGTCATTTTACGTGGCCTACCATTTCATGCCTGAGTTGCTGCTGTTCCCAGTTGCTTCCACTTTGTTATAATACCACTAACAGTTGACCGTGGAATATTTAGTAGTAAGGAAATTTCACGGATGGACTTACTGCACAGGTGGCAACCTATCACGTACCACGCTTGAATTCACTGAGCTCCTGAGAGCGATCCATTCTTTCACAAATGTTTGTAGAATCAGTCTGCATGCCGAGGTGCTTGATTTTATACACCTGTGGCCATGTAGGTGATTGGAACACCTGAATCCAATGATTTGGAGGGGTGTCGCAATACTTTCGGCAATATAGTGAATATGTAACTCTGTACTAGCTGAAGAATAGGCTGATTAGATGCTGATGAGTATCAGAGTATCACTTGACCATATGTAGCTGCAGGAAGCCGGACACCTGTAGTATCTTCAGGCCCCCTTCACACCTATGTGTTGCATTAATCAGACCCTTTCCTGCGATTAACGCATGCTATCACACAACGCACCAACTATTTTTAACCTCTATGCATGGTGTTGTGATATTGTACCACATTCCAGCGCATTGCGGCCGGGAGGTGTGTTGGGGTGCCATTCAAATGAATGGCAGTGCAACACATCTGCCACACTGTAATGCATGGTAGTTGCAATGTGCGATAGCGTGCGTTAATCGCATGGAACAATGCAATTAATGCAACACATAGGTTTGAATAGGCCCTAAAGGTTTGCACTGGGACATGATCCACTGCATCATGATCTGCTGCTTGGAGTCCTTAGCTATTCCTGTCTCTGCTGTCTTCTTGCTTCTGACTTTTGTGCTCAACAGTATCCTGGGTAATAGGGAATCCCCCATAGGGTTTTATGAGTCACTCCCTATCCTACTCAAAAGCTGTCCTAGGGACAGTGAGGAGTACTACTTTAAACGTCAACCAAATTATTTGAGGGGGATTCCCACTATATAGATGTATACAAATATTGGCTCTGCTTCTCCGGTAGACAGTAATTGATCATCTGTTTTTACAATTAGTTAATCAACTGATAGATTCAAAATGAATTTTCTGCAGTATATGTATGCATCTATCCAGGAGATTGTTAAAAGTTATTACTCTGTAATAATAACTGACTCATGTTTATTGAAAGGTCATTTCTGTTTTTCAGATAACAATTTAAACTTGGCTTCAATGGAGGTGAATGTGAATGCTGTGGCTGGTGCTCTGAAGGCATTCTTTTCAGACCTGCCGGCACCTCTGATATCATATGTTCATCACCCAGATCTTCTGGAAGCTTCAAGTAAGTGAAATTTGTTTGCGCTAGGTGATCATTGACTATTGTAATTGTGTTTTATTAGCATTGTAAAATGTGGCTGTCCGGTTACTTTGTCATATGCTGTATTGGAAATTAGTTCACATAAATATTGCATTAGTTCAAGTCGCTTCATTTTATATATATATTTTTTTTTTTTACATTCATCAACCCTCAAATAGAATCAATAAAATAATCGGTTCACACCACTTAAACCCTAACTCCCACCTTAACCTTTTATTCTGTTTTTGATGGAGTGTAGAAGGGTTAGGAGAAACTCCTGTGAGGTTTTTATTGTGTGTTTTGTTGCAGTTGGGGAGATTTCCCCTCACTTTACTTTTTAGGACAAGACATGATAGGAAACCTTTTCAACAGACACAGACTACATAGGATGGTTGGAACATCTGACAATGGTTTTTATTGCTGTCTTTGTGACCACTACGATCTCCATTTTTTTATTTTTGTGGTCATGCTGTCACAATGACAGAACGTGAGGTATAATCTTCCCTGCAGGATCATGGGCAGAAATAAAAACCTGACAGAAAATGTAACTCTCCCCTACTCCATCCAAGATGGAGTAGTAGCCATATGATGCAACTGAGGGAACTTGTGACTTCCTCTTTAGCACACGTCCCAAGCTTGCATCACGTGCCATATCATCCCTACTACTGATCGGTTGCGAGTAAGCACCTTGGCTCAGTTAACACAGATTACTTCGTGCTAGGACTTAAAGGCCACACACTAAGTATCATGAGGACGCAGGGTGGGCAGTAGACTGTCATTTGGGAATATCTAAGTTGTTCTTATATCTTTTTGTTTTGGTCTCAAATGTATTTCTTGTTTAAAGGGAAACTATAATGTGTGTGTTTTCAGGTTTATTTGTTTCAAGAACTGGTCTTTTATTTCTAATATGTTTTTGTTTTCATTACTTCTATAAAGCCTGCCTTTGCAAATGAAAAATGCAACTTAGGATTCATGATAGTGTTTGCAGTGCTCATCAGTTTGACTTGTGTTCATTTTAAGTAGACTACATTTTCTTACAACAGTTTATATACATTGTTCCTGCAGAAATCCCAGACAAGATGGAGAGGCTTCATGTTTTGAAAGATATTTTGCGGGCTTTTCCTCCTGTCAACTTTGAAGTCTTAAAATATATTATATCTCATCTGAACAGGTGAGTTTGGAACTGCTACTACAATGGTTGATTGGATTTAGATTCCAGCACTTCTGCCACATTTTTTGTTTTGTACAGAGTGAGGCAGTTAAAACCTCTGCCTAGTGTTTTATGGTCATGTCCTTGTTGAGATTTACACTTGTTGTCTCTCTGGGAGTTGTCACTGGAAAGGGGAGGTATTGGAAATTCTCTCAGTGAGAGCAGTCAAACATAAGATGTCCCCTCTATTTCTGGAAAATCCTGTAACGTCACCTGAACAGGAAGTGAGGACAAAATCTTCCCAGTTGGGAACACAGCCAACAATAGAATAGTGTCTAAATTCCATGTTTGGGCTTCCCGTATTATCTAAAATAAAAAGAAGATATGGCTACATATATAAATACTGTTTGCTAGGTCTGTAAACGCATACACCGTTCTCTCACAACAATAAATTAGAGTATTAGATGCTATTTACAACATTTCCTAGTGGTGACAGATCATGTGACATTGTTTGTTGTTGCCAATCCATACTCACAAACAGCAATGACTAGTCTGGATTTTGCTAGCTGAATAGTTGCCTGGGTTATAGGGCACATGGTTTATGTTAGGGGTGTCATTTCATTTTTCCTAAATCTACACTTTGTGAAGAGATTTGTGACCCAGCTGCATAGTTTTCTTGCTATATTGTCTAGGATTGGGGGTAGGTTATCCCTTGAAACCAATTTCTTACTGTTGAATGATTAGCTGTCTCAGCTGAGAGAGGGGGGAATCTCCTGCATCTGTGTGAAACCAGAGACAAAAACGTAAATGGTAGGAGAGATTTTCAGCTAGAAAAGGAAACATTTTACTAGTGGGTGAAGGAGAAGTACTGGGGGACTCTGTACACTACAGGATATATCCATAGTCAGGTGGTACTTTGTCTTTCCAGTCACAGATCTGTAGGCATCAAGAATATATAATATATACAATGGTGTACATGGAAGACATTTAATGCTGTTAGGATGTATAGGAAATTCTGTGACTGTACAAATAAACATAAATGTTCTGATGAAGGTAATTGAACTCTGGGGTGCTTCCTACTATCTTTAGTGCACTAGATATTGCTTTTAATAAACCGTATCTGACAGACACTGATGAACAAAGACGGGCCTGGATACAAACTGATAAGACATGGTGGACATGCATACATTGGGGAATTCTGATGTTTCATAAGTAAACACTCAGTTTGGAGAACCTGGCCCACTTTTAGGCAAATGATCGTAATGTAAGTAGAGGAACTACGGCAACATTTACACCTCTGCAGTTCCCATGTGGTACTTATTAGATGTTTTTATGTGCTTTTCCATTCATCTCTATGGAAAGTTTGCTTTGCTGGAAACTACCCTGAAAGTGCAGCAAGCACAATTTTGACATGCAGTAAAACACAGAGATGTGAATGTAGTCTAGACGTGAAAATGTCAGCACATGGGTTGGGAGTGGTGCTGGATCAAATCCCAGTCAGGACACTATCTGAAAGGAGTTTGCATGTTCTCCCTGTGCTTGTGTGGGTTTACTCCCACACTCCAAAGACATGCTGGTGGTAGGTTCCCTGGCTCCTGTCTAAATTGGCCCTCGTATGTATGCATGTGAGATAGGGACCTAGGATTGTAAGCTCCTTGAGGGGTAGGGACTGATGTGAACGTGCACTGTGTAAAGCACTGTGTACATTTTCAGTGCTATATAAATACCTGTAATAAATAATTGTAGAAGATAGTGAGACTTGTGACAAAAGCATATTTAAAACTGCTTCTCCTTAGAAAGCAGGTAACCACCATCACTGGGTTACTGGAATTTGGATGAAAATATAGATCACTTGAGTGCCATAAGAAAGGCATCACTGTGGACAAGCAGATATGGTGTAATAATTTATTAATGAGTCGGATAGATAGATACTTTTTGGACATGTGATATTACTTTTCAGGAAACTATTGTGACTATACTGCGTGTGCATGTGTATGTATATAATATAATCTAAAAATATAGCATGTAAATATTATGGCTGTAACAACTAATTGATGAAATAGATAATCGATTATAAGAATAGTTGGCAACTATTATCGATTTAGTTGAGAGAGGATCTTTTTTTATATATAAAACTAGTCGAAAAAATAATCGGGCAAATCGATGAAAATAATCGTTAGCTGCAGCCCTAATAAATAAATGAATACAATTTTGATCATTACAGTCATCCGTTGTTTTGTTCCTGCAGGGTCAGTCAACACAATAAAACCAACCTTATGACTGCTGACAACCTTTCCATCTGCTTCTGGCCTACCCTTATGCGCCCGGATTTCGAAAACAAGGAGTTCTTCTCGACCACTAAGAACCACCAATCTGTCATAGAAACATTTATTCAGCAGTGCCAGTTTTTCTTTTTTGATGGCGATGTGGTCGATTCTCCAAGCGTTACCAGTTCTCCGTCAGCACAGCACGGCAGTCCAGGACAACTAGCAACACCTCTAGTCCCTCTGCAGTTCCCTCCTCCACTTCAGCCACAGCTACTACAGCCCACGCTGCAAGCTGACTCTTAGGGCATCATATAAATGGGCACGACTGTACTGTACTTTATTTAATAACCCCAGGTCCTTACTGACAGACCATAACACAGGAGAAAAACAGAAGACTGCTCACCTGTAGTAATATCTTAATGACGCAGATGGATCGGATTATTTTTAGTTCTTGTTATTTTCGTTTGTATTTTTTTAAACACTTTGGACCGTCTAGATAAAGATCGATCTGTGGCAGGCCTTGTTTGTGAAATTTTGCTGCTGCATGGAACTTCAAATACTATACACTTCTCCAGGTGTCGGGAAGATACTTATCAGAAGAGAGGATAACACACACAGAATAAAGAAAATGGTTCTTTTCTATAGAAAATCTAATTACATTTACGGAAATAAATCATTTATGAAGCATTAGTGCTTTCCCAGCCAGTCTAAAGGCTGAGATTTATTTTGGTGTCAAAGCATCTGTGGTGTGCAGACGTGGGTATGTGTGGGTGCGTGTGGGGAGCCTGGCAGTGGGGTGGGTTATGGATTACTTGTTGGCGGTGCTTGGTTCAGAGCTTATCTTGTAAATGATACAAAGTAATAATTGTATGTACATATATAAATGTTTACATATTTCAGGAATAAACATCCATCCATTGAATCAATGTTTTGTTCTGCATGAGGGAATGGGTCAACATGAAGAGAGTCACCGATCTCGACTAACCTCTTCCACCATAATAGCTGAGCGGCTGCTGATAGCCTAAACTATTTGGATTTGCAATTGTATCCCTTGATCTGGATTATTTTGGGTATCCCTGAAAGACATCGAGTAAAATGATTCTTCATTTGAAAAGAATGAAGTGCTTTTGAATACGCTTTAGGGTGCAGCAACACTGAAAAATTACTTTGAAGCAACTAAGCATTCCTTATTACCTTATTATACTACATACAGCCGTGTCTGCGTGTAGCTGCAGTATGCACTGACTTGCACAGCATCTATAGTGGCTAAACAGGTATGCCTAAAAAGTCCGTCTTACCATATGAAAACCTCAAGACCGTGCGTTAGTCTAAGTGGACGCTAACCATGAACTTCTCTTATTTTCCTTCTTTTGACTGTTAGAAAGTGAAAATACCTGTTGATCTTTCCAGAAATGAGTGCTACCCTATGAGCAATGTTAATGGCCCTGGCCTGTTCACCTCTGTGAATTACAGAACCTGTGGTTTGGAGATGTGGAAAGGGGGATGAGTTCTGTAGTCCTAACACCCTACCTGTCCTAGGGTGACAATGCTGCTAATTCAGACACCAAGTGCTGTGTAAGGCTTTATGGAGAGTGATTGGGATTGCCACAACAAATGTAGATTTTTGTTTTCTCTTTATTCTTAAAACAGAACTGCAACCTCCTATCCCTTACAACCAAGGAAGGTGCCTCTGTTTGGATTGCAGTTGTCATTGTGCTGCACATGTGATCAGCTATGACACCAGCCATTTGCTATTTCAGCTCTCAGCTGAGCTTTCAAGCCTTCAAACTGGCAACCTTGACAGTTGTCATGACTTAAAAGTAACTTTTTTGGGAGACATTAAATTGATGGATAACGTTCCTTTTTTAAAGTGCCAGTAACTCGGGAGTTAAATCTTAAAAATGCATTCAAGTACATTATTAACAAAAATGTTAATCTTATTTGTGTATCACTCTTGGATCCTCAAATCATCTCTGAATTGGTGTTGTCCTTCCTTCTGGAGGGTGGCTACTTTTTGTTCTCTATGGTCCCTGTGTGTGATGTAAAGTAGTCACCGCTCCAAGCTCGCACCTGTGCTGGACTACAATCTCAATACAAATTAGTAAAGTAAATGTGAGATTGTAGTCCATCACGGGAGTGATCTTGGAGCGATGACTATATCACACGCAGGGACCATGGGGAACAAAAGTAGCCCCCCTCTAGAAGGAAGGACAGTGTCAGCACCAATTCAGAGATTTGAGGATCTACAGCTGAGTGGTATGCAAATAAGAAACATTTGTAATAATCGTCAAGGTACTTGAATGGATTTTTAAGATTTAACTCCTGAGTTTAGTGTCGCTTTAAGTGAGCTGGGTACTTTTATAGAACAATAAACAATATAGCATATTAAGTAGCATGTGAAGCAGATCAGTGTAAACTCAGGAATAAAAGATTTACTTATATGGCCAGATTAATAACTAGAAATGAGAAGAAACACTTTCCCCAGACCGTCCCTCACATCTGGCCAGTTTATTACACCGCAACTTCTATGTATGCCAGAACGCTTGAAATGTATGGTACTGATTACATTTCATTTCCATTTCTTATAGGAAACGGTAGAATTAACCATTCCTTTCATGAGGCTGTAAATCTGTTGCATTCCAAAGTCCAGGGTTTCATCTAGAAATGTCTGGATCGTATAGTTAAACCTCTTTTAACATAAATATCCTACAGGCTTATGAGGTGAAATGTCTGTTATCCAGAAAACCTCCCTTCATAATGCCTATATCATAGGACTGCTCTATAACCTGTGAAATACATTTTCATATTGTACTATTCACATAAATAGTGTTCTACTTGGATAGGCGAGTAGTTGACAAATACCATTGGTTTGATCTACACACACCTGAATACAATGACATTTCTATTATCAAGAGTTCTTGGGGCCTGATCCCACCATTATTTCTAAATGGTTGGAACTATTCCTATGGTACTACAGGTTAAACAGTAACTGTACCTTTATAACACATTAGTAATTTTACTATGTATTCAGTCATCAGTATAGTACATATTTGATTTCCGCCTGGTTCACACTGTGCTAAAGCAGTAACGCAGGTCATACGCACGGCCCTGCCAGTTATTTGATCTGCCCAGAAAGCTGTTATGTTTTATAGTATAATCTAAAGCTTTTTTTGATATAGCAGGGAACATTTGTGTCTCTGGGAGAGGGAGTGAAGGGAAAAGCCTGCAATGGGACACAGATGCAAAAACCTTTCTCACTAAAGAGTAAGTTTAAGCAATAGATTTACTTTAAAGTGTAAAATTGAGAATACTTTATATTTGTTACATATTCCCAGTCACATTGCATAATAATAATAAAAAAAGTTACTTTTTTTAGATGTTCATTGTGGCAGCTCCAGGTCTGAGAAATCCTGCTTAGTTCTCACTGTCTGAGGTGGGTTTGGGGGAGTTTTGTTTCAAATTATTAACCCTGTCTGTACTGTTGGCAGATTTCTTCACTTGTAAACTTGGTGAGCAAGACCGTCTGTCCTAAAGAGTTAAAGAGCTGAAGACTTTGTATATGAATGAGGGGAGTTCAGCCTGTCCTAAAGCCCGGGTATACACGGTATAAATTTCAGCCGGTTCCTAATGAACCGGACGAAATTTGCACAGCGAGTGCCGCTGTCAGCACACTTTTGCCCCCCGCATCCCCTGATCAGAGGCAGCCAATTGCCTGCAAGCTCCGTTTGGGTATTCTGACAGCGGCTGCTGTTAGAGTACAATGCAGACAGCGGGGGATTTATCCATCAATGCTTAGAGGTTGAACAAAGAAAATATAAGCCTCTATTAGGACATAGTTTGATATTGCTGAAATTGAGAGGCAAGCATGCAAGGCCTGCTAACTAGAGATGTCTATAAGGTAGAAAATATATTATATCAATTATTTTTTAGTTGTGCTGTGTTGATGGGAACACATAACAAACATACAGGGGGGGTTTATAAAGTTTGACAGAAAAAGTGGAACTGAACATAAATGAATGTGTAGTTCTACTTTTGCAGTCAAACTTCATGAAACCCCCACTATATGTCTGTGTTCTCATTCACAGTGTATAAAAAAATAATTTCTATTTCTTATGTTTTAGATATTTCTTTGGTGAAGGTCTTTATGCAAATTCCATGCTACTCTAAACCGTTTGAATGTGCAACTAGATGGTCGGAGTTAAAGGAGAACTAAGAGGTGAGTGAAAATCACTCATCCTCATGGTGTGAGGCGAAGTGTGACAATGAAACTGTCACACGTCGTCTCAATAGATCAGGAAGTGAGCGCGCACATACCGTCGCTCACTTCTCGATCATCTCCCTGCAGAGAGTGGTAACTGTCAGTCATGGCTCCCCGCAGGGATCCTCCCTCTCCCCGCTCTGATCCTCCCTCTCCCCGCTCTGATCCTCCAGCGCTGACTGGAGGGGGTGGGTACAGCTGGCTCTGCCTGTAGCCAGCTGTCGCAGCTAGTTCATGTGCTCCCGTGACCCTTAAGAGAACTATGGGGAAAAACACTTACCCCATAGTTCTCTGTTAAGTAGAATTTTGCAATCACGTTCGTATGAAAAATCCCGTCAGAACATTTGATAATACCGTCAGAGGCTTAGCAATTGTCGTTCTAAATTTTATTTGATTTTGGAATGAATGGAGTTTCTGAACAAAAACCACATTCGCTGTTCCAATTTCGTTCCTCGAGAAAAAATTTCCAACATGCTCAAATATTTTTATTCCTTTGGTTGAAATCGATCATTGATTTAACCGCATCAACGATTATTAAGTTGAATGGACGGAATTGATTTTTGTTCGTTCAAAATTCTGTGTATACTCAGCTTTAGCGTCCTCTCATCACCATACAATGCCTCGGAGGCTTTAGCCCTTTGTCAAGACAGACCGTGTTCAAATCTATGCAACTGATAATCAGCTCTGGCAGCACAGTACAGAGTTAGACACCGTTCACATTGAGCGATTTATCGCGCGGCAAATTACCGCGCGATATCGCGCTCCAATGCAATCCAATGGGGCAAAGGGTCCTGCTGTCGCGGGTCGTGCGTCGCTACAGCAGGACCCTTTTTTGAGCGGATTTAGCCGCGATTCAAGCTTGCTCAATGCGAGCTTGAACGCGGCAAATCTCGCGATGTCGCGCAATATGCAAATCGTGCGACAAACGCGCGATTTGCATATCGCGCAGTGGGAACGGGGCCTTAGAGTAAATATAAGTTCCCTCAGCTCCCCCTTAACATTATATAGGGCAGGGGGTTTGGCAGGATTTTTAAGCAAATATAAAGCACTCACCAATGTAAGCACCATAATAGTCTTTTTTGCCCCAATTTGGCTGCCAAAGTGGAACTACACTTTAATGTAAAAGTTCA